GCATCAGGCTTGTCTATATGTTCATTTGCAAAGTTCAAACGATGATTTTTGTGGTGAGGACGTAGAAGAGGTTTTCTTCTGATGACTCTTCCATGAAGACCATATTTGTACAAGTATCTCTTTATAGTGGAATAGTGTACCACAACTCCAGTGTCTGCCAGATCTTTCTGGAGGGATCGTGCAGTCAAACGTGGGTTTTGAATTGTTTTTCTCACAATCCTGCGAGCTGTTCTGTCTGATATTTTTCTTGGTCTTCCAGATCTTGCTTTAACTTCCACTGTTCCTGATGACTGCCATTTCTTAATTACATTCCGAACAGAAGATATTGACATCTGAAAATGCTTTGCTATCTTCTTATAGCCTTCTCCAGCTTTGTGAGCATCAACTATTTTCAGTTTCAGTTTTCTAGACAACTGCTTAGAAGAACCCATGGTGCTGATTGTTGGGGCAAGGTCAGATGAGTCTGGGCATTTAACCACTTCCTGTCCGGACACTTTTACCTCCTTCCTGACCAGGGCAATTTTCAGCTTTTAGCGCTATCACACTTTGAATGACAATTGCGCGGTCATGCAACACTGTACCCAAATGAATTTTTTACCATTTTTTTGAGATAGATAAAGCTTTATTTTGGTGGTATTTATTCACCACTGGGATTTGTATTTTTTTTGCTATGTAAATGAAATGTCCAAAAATTTTGAAAAAAAGTGTTTTTTTTAATAAAATTTTGCAAATAAATAATATTTCATCATAAATCTTAGCCAAAATTTATTCCGTTATCTTTTTAGTAAAAAAAAAAAAATCCAAATTAGTTTATAAGCAAAAATTATAATTTTTAAACATTTTTTTTTTACATTTTTATTTTATTTTTTTATATTTTTATTTTTATATTTTTTTTTTACATACTGTCACCCTAGCAGTACAGTGTCACCATGGTGACACTGTACTGCTTGTGAGGGGTGATGAAGATTTTTTTTTTTTTTTTTTACACTGATTGCTTTTACACCCATATAGGATGTAAAAGCAATCATTTCTCTTTCTCTCTGTGTGCATTCTTGCACTCATTGAGAAGAACTGAGTGAGCTGTGATTGGTCACAGTTTGTCACATGGTACAAGGCTTTTGTGAATAGCCCTGTACCATGTGACCTCTGTGATCATTCACAGATTTCACACATAGTAAGCAATGATGTCAGAAGTGACATCTTGCTTACTACTTTGCATGTGATCACTGATTGGCCAATCAGTGATCAGATGATCGGGACCTCGTACAGAGGTCCCGTCTGATGATTGGTGTTTAACTGTGTCCGGAGGACACAGCGGGCACCGGATCGCGGTGCTGCGCACTCCGAGGGAGCGCACAAGCAGGGTGCGGGGAGGCCGTTTATAGATGGCCACTCGACCCTGCAGTGCCACCGTCCGGCCGTTTATATACAACGGCCGGTCAGGAAGTGGTTAAAACCTTTGAGATTGACATCACTTGGTCTTCCCAGACGATGATTGAGAACAATCCATGACACTGGCAGGTCTCAGCTTGGCAAAGGGGGCAGTACAAGATATTAACTCTGCAGGGTGCCCAAACTTTTGCAGACGCCATTTTTTTTGTTTTCTGTTATTTTGAAAGTGTAAATGATGGAAATAAAATCTAACTTTTGTTGACATATTATAAGAATGTCTAATCTGTAATTTGATGCCTTTTGGAGATTTTTCCATCTTTCCTTGGCTTCTTTATGCACATTAATACAAATTTTTAGCTGGGGTGCCCAAACTTTCGATCCCCACTGTATAAGGAGTGGACCAGGGACAGTCAGGTTGGGAGGAAAGGGCTAGATGATGCTGGATATCCCCCCCCAGGCAGGAAATGGGGCAGTTTCTAATGTGAGAAGCTCACAGTGTGCGGTGAAAGTAAGTCCAGGAGAGGAGCCGGTACAACTGTGCGACACTGAAGGGAAGGCCGGAGCTTTTATTTTACCACCCCAGAGATGGCTTTTCTCTACTGCTTCCTCAAACAGGAAAAGCAGATTAAAAAGAGAAAATGGAGGCAGACGGCACGTACCAGCTGCCAGAGCAGTAAACAATTATGTCAAACGCCGAGGGAAAACCAAGGAGAGAGACGTGACGCAAAGCGCCCCTCCACAATGAGCAGAGAACGATTGTCCTCGGCTTAGAGACTTGTTACAGAGAAGAAAAAAAAAACTGCTTGTTTTATTGAAGAGCGCAATAAAAAGCAAATTGTAATGTCGCTGATAAATTTCCCGAGTCCCAGTAAAAATAAACCGCAATAAACGGCTTTTGTGGGGCCGTAAATCCTCCCCCTGGAATCTGGGCATATGCAGCTTTGTAGCGTGCCGTAGATTGATACATAAACCCCATCATTTCATTAAATCTTCAGTCTGTGGCAGGGAAGGTTGCAGAATCCCGTCTAGGAGGCGCAAACATGGAACAGCTCTGATTTAAAGAAAAAAGTAAGAAATTGTTAAAAAAAAAAAGAAAACTGGGGGAATATAATATATTCTTTATATGCAGTGGTGGGTTGGATATACAAATCAGAACCAGGAACCTTCTCAAACTGGCTTCACTCTCATGGTTTGGAGTGCCTCCTGTCATGGCGCCCCCTGGCAGCTGATACAGAGTCTAAATGACCGCTCAGCTGGTCTTCACCAGAGATCCTGATGGTGACGATGGGTTGGAAATGTTCGTGGTCTTGGAATGCCTCAGCAAGCGGGTAGCTGGAACAGAATGGGTATGGTGTGGAGGACTGTACAGGAAATAATGGGTAGAAGAGTAGTCTGGTCCAGGCAGAGGTCATGGGCAAGATAGAAAGTAGTTGGGTCCAGGTGGAGGTTGTATGCAAGCAAAACAGTATTCAGGTCCAGACAGAGGTCAGGGCAGGCAAAAGGCAAGAGAGTAGTCAGGCCCGGCGGAGGTCATGGGCAGGTGACAGACGAATGAGTAATTGGGTCCAGGCAGAGGTCATGAGCTGGGGGCAGGCAAGAGAGTAGTTGAGTCCAAACAGAGGTCATGGCATGGGCAGGCGGTAAGCAAGCCAGTAGTCAGGCCTGGGCTGAGGTCATGGGCATGCGGCATTCAAAAGGGTGGTTGGGTCCAGGCGGAGGTCATGGGTAGATGGCAGGCAAGAGAGTGGTTGGTTCCAGGCAGAGGTCTTGGGCAGGCAACAGGCAAGAGAGTAGACAGGCCAGGCAGAAGTCATAGGAATGCAGCAAGCAAGAGAGTAATCAGGCCGGGCAGAAGTCTTGGACAGGAAATAGGCAAGAGAGTAATCAGGTCGGGCAGAAGTCTTGGACAGGCAAGAGAAGTCAGGCAAGAGAGAGTAGTCAGGCCAGCAGAAGTCTTGGACAGGCAACAGGCAAGAGAGTAGTCAGGCCAGCAGAAGTCTTGGACAGGCAACAGGCAAGAGAGTAGTCAGGCTGGACAGGCAGAAGTCTTGGACAGGCAACAGGCAAGAGAGTAGTCAGGCCAGCAGAAGTCTTGAACAGGCAAGAGAGAGAGTAGTCAGGCCGGGCAGAAGTCTTGGACAGGCAAGAGAGTAGTCAGGCCGGGCAGAAGTCTTGGACAGGCAACAGGCAAGAGAGTAGTCAGGCCAGCTGAAGTCTTGAACAGGCAAGAGAGTAGTCACGCCAGGCAGAAGTCATGGGAATGCAGCAGGCAAGAGAGTAGTCAGGCCCAGCAAAGGTCATGGGCAGACGGCAGACAAGAGAATAGTTGAGTCCAAACAGAGGTCAAGGGATAAGCAAGAGAGTAGTCAGGCCAGGCAGACGTCCTGGTCAGGCAACAGGCAAAAAAAAAATAGTCTGGCCCAACTGAAGTCATGGGCACACGATAAGCAAACGAGTAGTCAAGCCGGGGCAAATGTCATGGACAGGTAAATGGTAGTTTGGTCCAGGCTGAGGTCTTGGGCAGGCAGAAGGCAAAAGAGTAGTTGGGTTAGTCTAGGTGAGCAACATGAAGGCATTCTGGAAGTATAATAACTGTTTTACCAAAGGATAGCTGGCATTAGGCACAGGACCAGTCACCTCCAAGGCACTTAACTACCCTTTTGGTAATAGAATGTGCACAGCGTTGTTTCAGGGAACTCTGGAAGTCCGGCAGTGTTCTGCGACCACCATTGGAATTCCTGGCAGGGGTTCTGCGAGCACCATAACAACGCCGACGTGTCACGTTGTAGGGAAAAGAAAAACAAATATTAAAGGTTATGTCCTCCCAAAAGTAATATTTTAGTTATAAGTGAAGCTTGCTGGTCTGGGTCAGCCCCTGGCAGCATATATATATGACACTCCAACAGTGAGGTCTCCCTGCCATAATCTCTGTCTCCACCTGGGAGTTTTGTGACTGACACCCACGTATCCTATTTAATATTTGCAGAACTTCTCCCAAGAGCCAACCCACTACTTGAATTAGGGCTCTTGAGAGGAGTACTGAGGAAGGGTGGTGTGATGTTTTCAGAAAGCTGTGTACAGCAACCTGCCAGCCCCTCCCACTAGCCATGATCTGCCTGCATTGCATAGGGAAGCACAAAGGCCCGGTGATATTTTTTATTTTATAGAATGAGGGGTATGAATATAAGCTATGTAATTGGGGGGGGAGAGGGGGGGTTTTCCCTTTGAACTCCATGGGGGGGAATTAGAAGTTGGAGTTGGTGAAGCGGGGGTTTTTAAAAAATCTCACTGGGTGTTTCTGTACCAGCACCAATTGCAGGGGGAGAACAGAAAGTTTTACAAAAAAGCAAAAAATTTCTATAACTTTACTCAAACAGTTTTGACAAATGTTAAATATTATAAGAAAAAAGCCTTTGTGAAAAAAAAGACGGATCTAACATTTGAGCAAAAATTATTTCCACTTTCTCCCTCCTCGTACGATCCCCCTCCAGAAAAAGACCATCTCCCTCCCCCTCCTTCATCTCCCTCCCCCCTCCTTCCCTCTCTCACCTAGACAGAGAGACCCCTCCCTTTTTTCCCCCCCCACCCTCTCTCCCCCCTCTCCCCCCCCCTCAAGGCCCCCTCTCCCCCCACCCCCCTCTCTCTCTCCCCTCCCCCCTTCCTCTCTCTCTCTCCGGTCAAAGAAGCGAGAGAAAGAGAGAGACGGAAAGAGACGAAAGAGACCGGCAGAGAGCGCAGAGAAGGAAGGGAGCGAAGCCAAACCAGAAGCAACAGTCGAAGCGCTGGGAGAAACGCGAAAGAGAAGAGCGAAACCCGAGAGCCTTCCTTCTCTCCCTCTCTCCTCCTTCCTTCTCTCCCTCTCTCCTCCCAAGAAACGACCTCGCCTCTCTCCGAGAGTGGCAGAACAGAAAAGTTTACATGGAGAGAACCTCCCCTCCTTCTCGAAGTGGGAGACCGAGCAGACCAGACAAGAAGGAGAGAAAGTGAAAGAACAGGAAGGAAGAGCCCTCCCTCCTTCTCTCCCCTCTCCCTCCCTCCTTCTCTCCCTCGCAGCTCCCTCTCAAGGCTCAGGAGAGACCCCACACGACACGGCAGGACTGCTCTCCCTCCCTCCTCCTTCTCTCCCTCTCCCCCCCTCCCGTTCTTCTCCTCCCTCCTTCTCTCCCAGCCACACCAGCACCCCCCATACAACCGCTTCTCCCCTCCCCTCCTTCTCTCCCCTTCCCTCGCCTCCCTCTCCCTCTCCCTCCCTCCTTCTCTCCCCTCTCCCTCCTCCTTCTCTCCCTCTCCCTCCTTCTCTCCCTCCCCTCCTTCTCCCCCTCCCTCAAAGAAGCGGGGGGACGGGAGGGCTGATACAGTCTCCCCCTCCCCCTCCCTCCTTCTCCCCCTCCCCCTCCCTCCTTCTCCCCCTCCCCTCCCTCCTCCTTCTTCCCCCTTCCCCCTCCCTCCTCTCCAGCCCCCCCCCTCCTCCTTCTCCCCCTCTCCCTCCTTCTCCCCCCCTCCCTCCTCCTCTCCCCCCTCCCTCCTTCTCCCCTCCAAAAGCCGGAGACAACTCCTTCTCCCCCCTCCCTCTTCCTCCTTCATCCCTCTCCCTCCTTCACTCCCCCTCCCTCCTTCTCCCCCCTCCCTCTCTCCCTCTCCCTCCTTCTCACGGCGATCAAAGAGTCAATAACAGAAAAGAACCCTCTTCGAAAGACAGTCCTTCCTTCTCAGGAGAGCCCTCTCCTATCCTCTATCCCTCCCTCCTTCAGAGCCCACTTCCCGGAGGAACACGCACACTCTCCTTCTCTCCCTCCCTCCTTCTCTCCCCTCCCGACCTTCCCTCCCTTCTCTCCCTCCTCCTCCCTTCCCTCTCCCCTTTCTCTCTCCCAGATGTCTACAAAACATTACCCTTCGAGGAGGCGAAAGAACTTGGCTTGGAGGTAATTCCCCTATGTAAAATATTCTGTAGAACCGAACTGTCCTTTTTTTCTTAACTAGTTTGTTTATATTTTGTGTATTGTGGGGCTACGGTATGCATATTGTAAGAGCAGATTCATTTATTTAAAACGTCTATAGGGCAAAAAACATTTAGTATAGCTCTGGCATACATACACATGTTCCCATGTTTTATCCCTTTAACCACTTACCCTCCAGAGGATTTCCCCCCCCCTTCCTGACCAGGCAATTGTTTTACATTACGGTGCTGCTTTACTTTAACTGACAATTGTGCGGTCATGCAACGCTGCACCCAGATTACATTTACGTCCTTTTTTTCACATTAATTGAGCTTTCTTTTGGTGTTATTTGATCTCCTGTGCATTTTTTTTTTTTCGCGCTAGAAAAGAAAAAAAAGTCCGACAATTTTGAGAAAAAAAACAATATTTTGGACTTTTTTACTATTAAACATGTCCAGTAAAAAATGTAAAAAATCAAATTTAATCATAAATTTAGGCCAAAATGTATTCTGCGACATGTATTTGCCAAAAAAAATCCCAATACATGTAAATTAATTGGTTTACATGAAAGTTATAGCATTTACAAATGACGGTATAAATACAGGGATTTTTTTTTTTTCTACTAGTAATGGTGGCAATCAGAGACTTTTAGCAGGACTGCGACGGACATTTTGACACTGGGGGGGAACTCACCTGGTGTCACTGACATCCCCCGTGACGCCAATACAGTGATTAGTGCTAAACAAAAAAAGCACTGACACTGTACTAATGACACTGGGCAGGAAGGGGTTAACATGAGAGGTGATCAAAGGGTTAACTATACGTAGGGAGTGTTTTACTAGGTGGCGGGGAGTGTGTGCTTCACTGTTAGCACACTGAACGGGTTGGCTGCGCTGACAGTCACTGCTCTCTGCTCATATCAGCAGGGAGAACTAAGCAATCAGCGGTGTTTGATCCCTCAGTTCCCACCCTTAGAGCTGGTCGGAGACAGATGCAGAATCGGGTCAATGCTGCGTCCACCTAGGCGAGTATGATTTAAAAAAAAAAAAAATATAAAAAATCTCTTTTAAGTAGTAAACATATAAAATAGTAGTAGATAAGCTAATGAAGTATATATTATTTAGGACATATCAGTTTCAACGTGATAATGACTGCATTCACACCTGCACATTTCCTAAATGTTTGACAAAATGCACAAAAATGTGCATTTTTACCATACATTTCGGAAACGTGCTGCAATTGTGGATGGCGTTTGCAGTACCAATAATTGTTAATGGCACCCCAAGCGACGGTAGCAGTTGTGTATTTTGCCATGAGATCAAATGCGCCAAAACGCTCACTGTAAAAACACCCAACGCTCTACAACGGAAAAGGTTTGGGAGCTATTTTAGGACGTTTGTCACCCATTCAAGTGAATGGGCAACCCTAGGCAAAATGTACATAACACATTAAAAACGTGCAAAAAAAAAAAACCCATCAGCGGGAACGTGCACTTCTGCTACACTAAGGAGTGAATGGGGCCTTAGGGTGGACCAATACCCTCATAAAAAAAAATCTAAAAGGAAAAACATTTAAAAAAGTGAAAGGTGAGGAGGGCGGGACTTACCTAAAGTTTTGGATATGATTGGACTCGTGGTGAAAGGTGATTGCGAGACCCTATTGCCTTGTAATGATGAGTTCACATGTGGCTGCAGTTTGTAGTCCCATGGCCGATTGTCTGATTTCGTCTATGTATTCATTCACCTACAATAGGAAGAAGGGTCAGCCGCACACCGGAGGATAGATGAATATAGTGTGTATTTATTCATCCATAGGACACACAAAACACCAGGACATGAATACAGGACCTGTTAACGCGTTTCACATGATCTCGTGCTTAAATGATGCCTTATGAATAAGCACGAGATCGTGTGAAAAGCGTTAACAGGTCCTGTATTCATGTCCTGGTGTTTTGTGTGTCCTATGGATCAATAAATACACACTACATTCATCTATCCTCCGGTGTGCGGCTGACCCTTCTTCCTATTGCATCGTGTGTGGTGGCGAGCCAGAGCCTGCACCTATTGTAGATTGATCTGGTTTCTTGCCTGAGCGGTATACCTTTGTTCTTTGTATTCATTCACCTAGCTTGTCCCTGTTCGCCAAAGGGACAAGACAACTTCCTGTTCCAGGTCATACAACTTCCAGTGCATGTGTCGCCATCTGCTCTGTGTTACAGCACAAATGCTGCATCAGTGAGCTCTCTGTGAACGCTCTGCCTGCTTTTTGGCTGTCATATCTAATTACTGTAACTGCACCAGCACTAGTCTGAGAGACCCTGGGATTGTGGGGTATTGGTTTTGTCACAGGAAGTGTCAGTTCTCAGACTACAGAAAGAGGTCATGCATTAACTTGTGCAGTGCTGTACCATATGTTTGAACACAAACAGAAATTCCTGCCAAAGGAATGGGAAGATATACTCTACTATAGGCTGTGTGTACAGTGCAGGAAATGACACCATGAAACGACATGATCAATGCAGGTCCAAAAAAACAAAACCCTACGCGGGAACACACTTTTCTGCTACATTCAGGTGTGAGTGGGGCCCTGTGAGGGTGGACCAGTACTCTCATAAAAAAATCTTAAAAAAAAAAAAAAAGTCAAATGTGAGGAGGGCAGAACTTGCCTAAAGCTGTGGCTATAATTGGACTCATTATGAGATGTGATAAGAAGACCCTATGACATTGTAATGATGAGCTCACACATGGCTGAAGTTTGTAATGCTATGTGTGATCGTTTTCTCTATGTATTCATTCACCTAGCTTGTCCCTATTCGCCAAAGGGACAAGACAACTTCCTATTCCAGGTCATACAACCTCCAGTGCTATGCAGGTGGGAAGGTTTGCGACGACTTTAAAGATGCTACAAGTACAAAACAAATTTGGTTTTGGTTGGTTTGTAGACTTTTTTGAAGAATTGTTGTTGGTTTGTTTCTAGATTCAGCCTTCAAGGAAAGCAGCTGCGTTTGTCAATGCCTTTCTAAAGCGTTGTATACCGAAGCTGAAAAAGGTGTCGGTGGAGGAGTGGCTGCAGAGGAAGGCCGTAATCCTGGAGCATGTCCACAAGAAGAAGAAGAGGAAACACAACAAGGCCAAAGGACTGACCGCCAAGGAGCGCCGAGAAATGAGGCTGTTCGAGATCAAAGCTGACCAACAGAGGTGAGACTGCTGCCCTCTCTGTTCCCAAGCACCGTGACGGGCACTAAAGCAGACTTTCTCAAGCGTTTTACCCAAAGAAACCCTTAAAATAATCCCTGGGAACCCCTGCTAAGATTAGTCTATTGGGGGTCATTGGGAAGATGCCTCTTACATTGGTGGCCAGTAGGAAGAATGCTCCCCCTAACAGTGGTAGTCAGAATGCCACCACTACACACAGCTTTGAAGACCGAATAAAATAAACTTATATATAAAATCGAGCGCAGTGTATAGGTGTAAGTACGGTAGCTGCTTGCACAAAAAGGCACCTCGGGAACCTCCAAAGTAATTGATAAAGAATGAGAGTGCAGCGCTAACCCAAATAGCGATTAAACATATGATAGACCACATATGATAGTGGATCAGTAAAATGTCAGTGTAAGTTCATCAGATGTGCTGAAAATGCATACAGTCTCCAATATGTAAAGAACCAAAAGTAGTGACTTTCAGAAATGATAATAGCCAAATAATGCACTAACCAGATAGCGCATATTAAAGCGCATGGAGCATTTAAGGTCTTAAATGCTTGCGCTTTAATATGCGCTATCTGGTTAGTGCATTATTTGGCTATTATGCATTTCTGAAAGTCACTACTTTTGGTTCTTTACAGTGGAGACTGTATGCATTTTCAGCACATCTGATGAACTTACACTGACATTTTACTGATCCACTATCATATGTGGTCATCATATGTTTAATAGCTTTGAAGACCATTGGTGTCATGCTACTGGCTCTGTCAAGTGGAAATGGACCTTGATCTAGGCAGGCACCATCAGATAGGAGTCAGGCAGCAGCCTCTGGAGGAACCCCTAGCAGCCTCTGGAGGAACCCCTAGAAGCCTCTGGAGGAACCCCTAGAAGCCTCTGGAGGAACCCCTAGAAGCCTCTGGAGGAACCCCTAGAAGCCTCTGGAGGAACCCCTAGAAGCCTCTGGAGGAACCCCTAGCAGCCTCTGGAGGAACCCCTAGCAGCCTCTGGAGGAACCCTAGGGTTTCATGGAACCTTAGTTGAGAATTACTGTACTAGAGAGAGGTCATGTTCTTTCACTGTGCCAAACTCACTACACTGCACTGGGGAAATCCATTTTCTATTTATAGATCAGTCGATCCCTTCCCACCCAGGCCCAGTGTCCTTTTAAAGCGGAGCTCCACCCACAAGGGGAAGTTCCACTTTAATCCTTTGTCCCCGTTTCCCCGTTAAAAATTGGCACCTTTTGAGGAGGGAGGGAGGGGGAAGCTGGAGGGCCATAGTTTGGAGACCCCTGCTATAGAAGGATATGCTTTGTTCATATTTCACGTCTGAGGTTTACAACCACTTTAAAGCCCACCTTCTTCGTCTCCGCACATATGCAGTATGTGGGTGGAAAGCGGTTTAATCAGCTAAATACATTCCAGGTCTTTTGGCTTTACGTCTTCTGTGGATCACAGGAGTGAAGTTCGTTCTGGCCTCCTGTGACCCGTTTTCAGCTGATAGCTGGCTGAAGCCCACTGTCGGCTGACGTCACTCAGCCGGCCCAGGCTGGGGAAAGATCCCGACTTTAAGTCAGGATCCACCCCAGAGTCTAAAGCAGATCTCGGCACGTGGCTCAGCCTATCAGCAAGCCACTGAGAGCCTGAGCCAGCCACTCCTTCCCCCTTCCACAGCCCAGCGCTCCAGTGTGCAAGGGGAGGGCAGAGCAGACAGCGGTGACTGACCGTCGCCGTTCTCTGCTCAGAGCGGTGGTGGTGAGAATGCGGCGATCAGCGGTCATGTGATCACTTAGTTCTCACACTTCGAGCCGGCAGGGGACAGATGCAGCATCGGTAACCACCTAGGTAAGTATAATTTGGGGAAAAAAAACAAACCCACACTTCTCTTTTAATCAATGCAGCTCAAAAAAAAAGATCCTGCAGTACTTTTCTGAGTCTTTGGTGCAACTTTAGTGCCATAGACAGGCAATGCCGTAGACAGGCAATGCCGTAGACAGGCAATGCCGTAGACAGGCAATGCCGTAGACAGGCAATGCCGTAGACAGGCAATGCCGTAGACAGGCAATGCCGTAGACAGGCGCAATGACAAAAGTCACAAGGATTGACGGTATCTGACTTCAGGGGGTTTTTGACCAAAGCCAAAGTTGCATCACATCAAAGTTGCAAACAAGTCGCACTGCAAAGTTGCACTGTAAGTCGCACAACTTTCAAGTCACAACAATGTGAACCGAGCCTTAAAGTGCATGTCCAGCCAAAACTTTTATTTTTGTATAAGGTGGATAAGGGTTAAAATCGTGTCAGTTTTTTTTTTTTTAGCTGCTATCAGGGCCTTTATTTGAGAAATTTTGCTTCACTTATGCAGGCCATACATGGTTCGAATTCCGAACGATTTTTCATCCGAAAATTGAAACGTTGTTAGTTCTGTAATCCAGTGGTGCCACCAATGATTTTGAAAATCGGTTGTTTTTCATGAATTTTCCAGCATGCCCGATAAACAAAATGGGGAGGAACCACGAAAATCGGGCGATGCCATTGCCCCACTAACAGAGAAAATCGGCCGATTATTCTTAGGTCTGATTTTCATACGAAAATCGTTAGGAATTCGAACCATGTATGGCCTGCGTTACTGCCTCAGTGACTATGGTTTTCAACAAACAGGAAGTAAAGGAAAATCTCCAACAGTAACACAGAGAGAGGGGTTTTCTTATCAGTAGAAGAACGCTAGAACTCCGATTTTGTTTTTATCTGTCTGTGTCCCCGTTGCAGATTTTGTCTCACTTCCTGTTTGGTAAAACCGTTGTCACCAGAACAGGAAATAAGGGGAAATTTCCCTAATGGTGGCCAAAAAGTAGTAAAAACCTGGAAGGCATTCTTGGAAGTTCATGCTAAAATTATTCGAGGAATGCTGGCTCTACTGGTTGAGGAACACAGAAACCCGTTGTAAGGGAACCGACTCCAGACTGCACTTGGGTACTTCCGTTATAAGACCGCTTCCCCGTCCGAACACCGACCACAGACAGCACAGCAGACCATACAAGACTAGACGCCGCCAGTCTTGAAGTAAACCAGGAAATAGACTACTTTATTTTGACACAGATACAAGATATATACATTCAAGGAAACAATCCCCCCCTCCCTGCATAATGACACAGGGCGGGGCAATCTACCTTTAGTAACAAAAGACACACCAGCAGACAGTCCCATCAGGGGGAGGCTGCTGGAGACCCCCCAAGCCAATACACATAAACACATCCCATAATAGTTTGCTCCCAAGCAAGACACACAATAGAACAATGGGATGCAACCACATGGCATTAAACAATCCACAACCCCCCACCCCAATATTAGGACAGATCACCCTGTACCCCTAACAGGCACAGGGTGACTTACACATAATAGGGTATGGGGAGCTGAGACAGGGGTCTCCCCACCCCTCCAAAGTGAGCTGTGTTCCATGGGCCCCCCACCCAAAGTGACTCCCGTCACACCCATGTTGATCACGCTTCAGTCATTTTGACATTCCCGTAGAGGAATGCTGAGAGGAACGGTGATATCTGGTAACGCACGGCAGCCAATCGGATTTTACTTTATGAAGGTCAGAACAGTAAAAGTTAAATCATGATGAAGTGTGCTTTGCTAGTCCGAATGTCTGACTGTCGCTGTTTCTGCTGTTGTCCTCATTTTCAGATACGACATGTTTCTTCCTCTTCATGATCTTTGGAAACAGTACATCCGAGACTTGTGTAACGGGTTGAGGCCAGACGCGTGAGTATCTACGGTTCTCTCCCTACGCGGCAGGTATCAGACTGAGAGAGAGTAGCCTCATAGCTGTACATCTGCTGTGTGAGGTCTAAGACCCTGTTGCCTCTTGACTGCTAGTCACCAGAGTGGGAGTGAGATTTGATGATGTCACTACTGTGCTGCTCGCTGTTCTCTGACATGAGGAAGCAAAGCCCTGCTTCTACCAAGATGGCCGGCTCCAAACAGGGACATCATGCAGAATAAAGAGTTTTAATTAAAGCAGAACTTCACTCTCTCAATCAACATGGACTATTTGAATCCTTATGCTGCTAGCATTAGTAAATAGATAGGAAAGTATATCACTTTTTTACATTTCTCAATTACTTCCTGGTTTCCATGCCTAGGCAAATGACACCATACATCCCAGCAGTCTTCAGGAAGGTTCACCTCTAAGGTTAAACTCTTCAGGAAGGGAGGGAGAGTTCACAGCTCAGCCTATGCCTGAGCTAAGGGCAGATGGATTCCAGGAAGTAAATCAGACATGAATCATCTGCCCTTAGTCAAGATGGCCACTGCCAGAAATGGCACGGGGTGTTTTTCAAAATGATTTCTCAGCAAAATAAAGCATGGAGACCTGGATGGATGGGGGAGTTTGTTTTGAATATTAAAAATGAATAAACTGGTTCTTGGAGTAGCAAGATGCAGTGCAGTTCCACTTTAAGTAATGGGGAAAAAGATCAGCTGCACTGAGACCCCCAGCTAATACTGGTGACTAGTCCAGTCCCCTTTTAGCCGGGGTGGCACAGTGGCTTAGTGGTTAGCACTTCTGCCTTACAGTAATTGGGTCATGGGTTCAATTCCCAACCATGGTGCCTCCTGCATGGAGTTTGCATGTTCTCCTTGTGTTCGCGTGGGTTTCCTCCGGCTACTCCTGTTTCCTCCCACACTCCAAAGACTTGCTGGTAGGTTAATTGGCTTCTGTCTATAATTGTCCTAGTTTCATCCCTGGCCATGCGGGATCTCCTGCATGGTAGGGGTTGGGGAAAGACCTGGCAACCTACCTTGTGAAATAATTGCTAAAAGAATTCATGGAAGAAGTCGCTTGCGAGTGACGGTCCATGCAATCGCCAAGGGTCAGATACAACTGAATGGATAGATAGATCCCTTTTAGCCCCGATTCACATTAATGCTGGGCAGGAAACCCGCTATCTGTGCGTGTTTCCCGCACCACATTCAAATCGCACTGCCCTTGCGATCTGCAGTGGGTGTCAGTGCAATGTTAATGTTTTCCCACACCAGATCACATGGTACAGAATGCTCATGTGATATGGTCGCAGTGCGTTTCTAAAATTGGTGCACTACTTTGGTACGATGTGTTGCGATTTGAGCCCATTCAAAAGGAATGGGCTCAAACTGCACCGCACTGAGCCCTTAGGAATGCGGTGTGATTCATCGACGATTTATATTGTTAACCAGGGCCTAGAAAGGAACCTCACTCCCCTGCTCCATCATCTGCCCCTTTACCTGGTTTATTGGGTTATCCTCAAAATACAAACTCGCACGTCCCGTGAATCCAGCATTGCCTCGCTGCAATCCTCCACCTCACACCTGGTTGTACGCTGCAGCTTTTTTACGTAGACTGGCTTAAAAATAAATAAATTGAAGCGAGCGCTCCTCAAATGATTAGAAATAAAGTAGACAAGCAGCTAAAGCACTAGAGGAAATCACAACCACCTCACGTCCTTCAAATTGTAAATATATAAAGTGCAGCGCTAAATCATCAAACTAAAAGTTTGTTCAAAAAAGTTTGTGCGGTATGTCAATTCTTATGTGGTACCAACCGAGTACTGACACAGCTGTAGATATTCCATAAAAGCTAGTGAAAGGGGAATGACAGAAATGCGCACTCACCGACCGCGCATAGGAAATGCGCATTAGTAGATCAATAACAGCGGGTGCAGTTTCCCTCAAGGAAAGGTGTCATCAGGCAATGGTCAGCTGGGCTCAGAGGACTTCCTTAAGATCAGGATGAACCGTCTGGATAAGGGCTCCCTCCTCTGGATGCTGGATGCAGTGAAGGCTGTGTATGTTGATCTAGTAGCCCCTCAAATTGGGGCCAAAGAGAGGAAGTACCAATAGTGTAGTATTCCCAAACTTTATTGCAGTATTAATGAAGTAAATTTGCAGGTCGGTAATATACTGGCTAGAGCCAGAAACTCAATAGTAAAACGTGCTGTACAGACCTCAAGTAAAATGGCCGCCGGACCTCCTCGTGGTCCCGACGGCAGAAGGCATCACACGCTGTCAGCTCCTCCTAAGGCCTTTCGTGATAAGGAACATCGTCAGAGGGGAGGCTAACAGCGGTGTGACGGACGCCAGTTGTCTAAATAGAGAAACCCGAGTCGCGCATGCGCACTGAGTCGCCGTCATTTTCACGAAGAACAGGCAACTGCGCATGCGCGCTCGTCGAGACGCCATTTTGCCGTGGATCCACTGGCTGTCTGGGCTGCCTGCAGCCAACCCTCTGATGACATGAATGTGCCTTCGTATGTCATCAGGGGGCCGGCTGCAAGAACCAAGAAGAGACAGTTCAAACTACGCCTTTCCCTTTAACCCGGGAGGGTATGCTGGTACAGAGATCTTCACCACCGTCAGCACTTAAAATCTCCAAACAGCTCCACAGACATATGAAAAAAATGCTCTATATAGTGAAGTAAAGCCAAATGTAACCAACTTTATTAAAATACTGATCAAAATACACTCACATTTAAAAGTATCCACCTGGGACACTACGGGGTTTATTTACTAAAGCTGGAGAGTCCAAAATCAGACTCCCTTCTGCATAGAAACCAATCAGCTTCTAACCTCAGCTTGTTCAATGAAGCTTTGGCAATGAAACCTGGAAGCTGATTGGTTTCTATGCAGAAGGGAGTCTGATTTTGGACTCTCCAGCTTTAGTAAATAAACCCCTACAGGTCTGAGATTCACTATACAGTATATTTGTTGAATAAAAATGCATGGATCCCTTATCCAAAATGGCGGCATGTGCACTGCCGGTTTACGGCTTGACGTCATCGGCGTACCCTACGCGTTACGTCACGTGACTTCATCAGGAGTAAAGGGAAAGGCGTAGTTTGACCTGAGTATTCAGGTCAAACCTGAAGGTGAGCGCAATTGTGTGTCAGAGGTGGAGACACAGGGGGTGACACAGGAGCATCATATATGTGTATGCAGTAGTGTGATCACACTATTCACATATGCACGTTGGATTTACTCAGCACCGTATTTGAGTTTATAGTACTGCGCTGCATTTTTTTGATTTATAAAAAAAAAAATAATTGACCAATTGTGCAGGAGCGCAATGATGTGAAATGGACGGGGAGGGCGAAGGTAGGTGCCTTTAGATTGTATGTGCTGTTGGACAAATTTTTCTTGATAGTTTGACTCGTTTGTAAAAACTGGTGCAAGCTGTCTAGTATGATGTTTAGTCTCCTCCTGGAGATATGACCGCAGGAATTTACTTCCTGTCTCTGTGCCTTCATTCTTTGTGTTTACTATGTTACAGTTCTAATCCCAGCTCACTGTTTATACTTCTTTTCTTGTGTAGGCAACCACAGATGATCCAGAATAGGCTTCTAAAGGCCGATATGCATGGAGCGCTGGTTGTGGGTACGTCTAATGTGCTGGAATTATCAGTGATTACAGAAAGACAGATATGTGCAAAGTACATTACCTAAACCTCCTGGCTTAGCAGATGATCTGATTTGTATGTTAGCCACCTTCATAGTCACTGGAGCTAATGCAGGCCATAGACGGGTCGAAAATCAGCCGAAAAATAAATCGGCCGATTTTCGCACCGTTAGTGGGTTAATTGGTTGGCCGTTTTTTTTTTTTTTCGGGTTTTGGCACTTTTTTTTATCGGTTAAGTTGGAAAATTCGCTGCCGATTTTGATGATCGGCCAATTTTCCCGCCAATGATGGGCAAACCAGCCGATTGTTTTACCGATGAAAAATCTGCGCCGTGACCTGCAAGAAGAAGAAGAAGAATTCCAGTCCGCTATTATATTTTATATGAAAAGTCTTGCGGTTCCAACAATGTATCTATTTGTATCCGAATAAAAACATCTGTATCCGAAATGGATACAAATGGATACATTGGTGCAACCGCAAGACTTTTCGTATAAAATATAATAGCGGAGCTCTCTGCAAGGGACAGAAGTAAAAATGCCGGCCGTAGGCGGGACGAAAATCGGCCGTTGTTTTTTTGTTTTGTTTTTTTTACCGTTGGTGGTAACGTCAGCCAATTGAACGACCGTTTTTTGTTTTTTTTTAAACAGCTGGTTTTTGACCCGTCTATGTCTTGCATTAGGCAGATCTGTTAAAGTGTTACTAAACCCCCAACAGTACAATCAGTCTGTAGATGCAGCAAAGCATGCTGGTTATACTCACTGTGGAACCTAAGGGGTTAATCCTCTGTGTAAAAAAAGGATGTTTGATCCTGTCTTCTTTGATTCTCCCCTTCTTCTACTTAACCCAATCACCATGAATTGCTGGCTGGGACTCAGTGATTGACACGTACAGGAGCCAATTACAGCGAAGGTAGGATGGCGCGCGCCCCCCTACCCAGAAAATGCAAAATCGCGTATACATATGTGATTTTGCACAGAGCTCCGCCCTGTTACAGTTTAGCAAGTCGCTAAGGTAAAAAATGTTTAGGCTTTGGAAACACTTAAGTTATGGAAATACTTCATTTCGGCCAGCTTGGCCCAAAATAAAAAGTTTCAAGTGGCAGGAAACCTGGACTTCGGATTTAACTCTCGAGCATTCACACCAAATACTAAAATATCAGTTCCGGGTGAACTGTGCCTGATGGCTGGTGATCGTTGTTTGTTAGAAAATGTTACATTTTGTGGAAGTTTTTTTCATAGCATCATCTCAGACTTTTGTTTCCTTTTTCTTTTCTTTTTTTAGTATCAAAATCAAAGTGTCCATCCTATGTCGGCCTCACAGGCATCATTTTACAGGAGACGAAACATGTGTTCAAAATAATCACAAAAGAAGATAAACTGAAAGGTGAGGATCGTATTTATTCACTTTCTGAAGGCCAAGAGGGAGGATTTATTACTTTTTTTTATTTTTTTTAGCTGCTGGCAGGGAGAAGAGTTGCTTCCAGTCAGCTGAGCACACAGCCAGGTCCTTTGCCTATCACTTTGGGCCTTTGTTATATGTACATTATATGGCCTGACGTGTGTGGACACCTGATCATCACACCTGCCTGTATGGCCAAACATATCTGGACATCCTGATAATTGATTGAGCTTGGATGTTTCCAGTGAAGGGTCCAATTAATCCTACAGATTGGTAAATAAATAAAATTGAAACGCTAATTAAAAAAACATAAAGTCCAATAAATCAGAAAAAGTTCCAGTTAAAAAAGTCCCAAATGTAATTCTCGCGATCCACCATCGCCAGGACACCCGAATGGTTCAGCCTCTTACCAGAAATTTTGACCGAAACACACCGGTCAATATAGGCAACTCAAATGGGAGATGAATATGTGTAGATCATGGAACCAGCAATCCTCATCCAGATGGATATCAATCCTCCCTTTAAAGATCTGAAAATGGTCCTAAAAGAAGACTCCCATCCAATATTTAGATAAGGAATAAAAGAAAAAGGCCGCTCATAGTGTAGTATTTAAGTAATAAAATCACCCTGTTTAATTACAAGTTGCTCGTACATTGTTTTGGATGGTTACCAGCATTTGAATCAAGTTTCCAACCAGGAAAATGGCCGCCATCCCTCCAAAAACGTGATGACTCACGCCGAAGCTCCACCCGACGCGTTTCGTCGTCATGAATTTTTCATAGAGACTCTTGATCCAGAAAACACCCAGCGATCAGTGATCAACACTATACATGCACAAGACTCGTACCAGAAATAAGTGACCATTTTGTTATAAATGCTCTGACAACACATAAAGGGGTACAAATCTCAGGTTTCACCCACACCAAAGCTCATGTTTCCATATAAAATCATAGGAATCCCAGCAGTAAGAAGAGAAAAAAACAGCTGGTATAGGGTAATATAGTTAAAACCAAGCAGTTTATTGAAACAAATTTTGCATTCACATGTTAAGAAACAGCATAGGCCGCAATAAAAAGCAAACATCTGATCGGCAAAGAGTCTTGTCAAGTCCAACTTCTGGCAAGAACGTATGTGCGTGATGATGTCACATCCGATAGCCCTTCCCTACGCATTTTCGTTTTAGTAGACGTCATCAGGGGGATTGCTCTTTTGTTGTACGAACCTAAGTCTCATGGGTCTTTAACTGGCTGCCGACCGCAGATAGCCGAATGACGGCTTCACTGCGGCCGGCCAGTTCTGAGTGGACGTCATATGACGTCCTCCCAGAACGCGCTCTCCTGCGATCTCCATGATCGCTGTGTCCTACGGACACAGCTGATCACGTGATGTGGTAAAAGGCCAATCACAGCGGCCTTTTACCACGTGATCAGCGGTGTCCAATGACACGCTGATCAGAGGGAAATGCAAGTGCCGGTTCTCGGCTTCACTTTCCTCACGCTGTCAGATCGTGAGGAAAGTACTGCCGAGAACCGGCAGTTGTCAGAGCGGGGATCGGCACCGATCATCAGGGCACTGATGATCGGTGATCCCAGCAGTGCCACCCGCAAGTTCCGCCAAGCAGTGTGCCCAGCCGTGCACCCACCCGTGCCCAGCAGTGCACCCACCTGTGCCACTCTGCAGTGCCACCCACCTGTGCCCACCAGTGCCACCCACCTGTGCCCACCAGTGCCACCCACCTGTGCCCACCCACCAGTGCGCCCACCAGTGCCACCCACCAGTGCAGCCCAGCAGTGCTGCCAGTCAGTGCCACCAGTCAGTGCCCAGGGGTTGTGCCAGTCAGTGCCGCCAGTCAGTGCCCAGCAGTGATGCCAGTCAGTGCCGTCTATCAGTACCCATAATCAGTGTCACCATCAGTGCCGCCTATCGGTGCTGCATATTAGTGCCGCCTATCCGTGACACCTCATTAGTGCTGTCTATCAGTGCCGCCTATCCGTGTCACCTCATTAGTACTGCCTATCAGTGCCCTTTAGTGCCGCCTATCAGTGCCGCCTATCAGTGCCCATCAGTGCTGCCTCATCAACGCACATCAGTGAAGGAGAAAAAAATACCTGTTTGAAAAATTTTATAAAAGAAACAAAGAAATTGTTTTTTTTTTTTTTTTTAAAAAATTTTTTGCACATGTTTTTTTTTTATTTATAGCGCAAAAAGTAAAGCGCCCAGTGGCGATTAAATACCACCAAAAGAAAGCTCTATTTGTGAGAAAAAAAAATGATCAAAATTTCATATGGGTACAATGTTGCATGACCGCGCGCAATTGTCAATCAAAGTGCGGCAGCGCTGAAAGCTGAAAATTGGCCTGGTAAATAAGAGGGTATAAGTGCCTGGTAGGCAAGTGGTTAAAAGAGGACTATCTAGGTTTCAAATCTTAGTAGATGGCTAGGAGACCTTTTGTCCAAATATCAAAGTCCAATCTTCCTAGGACTAGACTGATTGAGCAGTAAAAAAAATGCAGTTGTGGGCTTGGGCTATCAGCCATTCAGAGTAAGCGATGTATTCTATCAGTGAATACAGAGCTTCCTCTGATTGGCTGAATTAGAGAGGCAGGCTGAGGATGTCACATCCTTTGACTCAGCCAATCAGAGAAAACTTAGTATTCATTAATAGAATACATTGCCTACTCCTGAATGGCTGAGCGCCACTGTGATGGACTCTGCCGTGTTTCGGGAATGAGACTGGAAGTGTTGGCTCTCTCCCGAAACACAGTGCGGTATGCTGTACATATAAATAACAAGCGTAGGCGAGCGCTGGAACTATAAAAGCAGCTAGCACCAAGGTATAGGTAACAACTCCTTATGGATAAATATATGGAACGTGCAGCGCTAAAATAAGTGAATGATATAGTGAAAAGAAATCTGACATATAGCGAAGAAAAAAAAAAAACAATTGATCAGCGGAACAGTCAAGTGCAGCATATAAAAAATGTTCAATAAATGTGAAACAGTAAAGTGCAGCATAAAAGTGAGAATATACAAAGTCCATAAAATATCAGTGAAGTAAGAGCTATAAATTGTCCGTAAGGATATAAGTACGGCAATCACGGTGAAATATTGTGAAGTGATCCAATAGGGAATCCACCACCTCTGTCAGATGTACACTCACTAGACATCTACTGGTAAACAGCATGTTAGCACATGTCATCTGGGTACAGGTAACAGCAATGAAGCCTCTGCAAGGGATGCTCAGCCAAGGGCAAAAAATGCAGGAGGACCCTCTCCTATGTGAGGAATAGCCCACCACAGGAGCCAAAAGTAGTATAGTGTAGTATTTTATTAAATAATGAATAAAAGACAATCCACGTGGAAACCAGTAACTATATGAAGGTAAAAAGGAGTACCAAGATGGCCGCTGTCTGACCTTCGGCAACGGCGGCATGACGTCAGCAAGTGCGGACTCCCCCCGCCGCGTTTCGTGCACATGCGCGTCTTCAGGAGTACGCTCCGGTATGCTGTACGTAGCCGCAGCTACATACAGTTTATGTCGCACATCCAGCGGCCTCACAGGTTAGTGAGGGACATGGCCAGTCTGGCACAAACAAACTATGTAAAGTATATCAAAAGGCGGAGATCCACTTTTTTAAACCTTTTAAATTATCGATCACTTACCAAAAAGTCCAATGTCTGTTTTTTGTTGGACTGACCCTTTAATTCACTGAAGGTAAAATGGAGTACCGAGATGGCCGCCGTTCCGGCCTTCGGCAACGGCGACATGACGTCAGCAAGTGCGGCTCCCCCCGACGCGTTTCGTGCACATGCGCATCTTTAGGAGTACGCTCCGTTATGCTGCATGTAGCCGCAGCTACATACAGTTTATGTCGCACATCCAGCGGCCTCACAGGTTAGTGAGGGACATGGCCAGTCTGGCACAAACAAACTATGTAAAGTATATCAAAAGGCGGAGATCCACTTTTAAACCTTTTAAATTATCGATCACCTACCAAAAAGTTCACTGTCTGTTTTTTGTTGGACTGACCCTTTCATTCACTGAAGGTAAAATAGAGTACCAAGAATTAAGGTAAAATGGAGTACCGAGATGGCCGCTGTTCCGACCTTCGGCAACGGCGGCATGACGTCAGCAAGTGCGACTCCCCCCGACGCGTTTCGTGCACATGCGCATCTTTCAGGAGTACGCTCCGTTATGCTGTACGTAGCCGCAGCTACATACAGTTTATGTCGCACATCCAGCGGCCTCACAGGTTAGTGAGGGACATGGCCAATCTGGCACAAACAAACTATGTAAATTATATCAAAAGGCGGAGATCCACTTTTAAACCTTTTAAATTATCGATCACCTACCAAAAAGTTCAATGTCTGTTTTTTTGTGGGACTGACCCTTTCATTCACTGAAGGTAAAATGGAGTACCAAGAATGAAGGTAAAATGGAGTACGAGATGGCCGCTGTTCCGACCTTCGACAACGTCGGCATGACGTCAGCAAGTGCGCCCCCCGACGCGTTTCGTGCACATGCGCGTCTTCAGGAGTACGCTCCGTTATGCTGCACGTAGCCTCAGCTACATACAGTTTATGTCGCACATCCAGCGGCCTCACAGGTTAGTGAGGGACATGGCCAATCTGGCACGAACTATGTAAATTATATCAAAAGGCAGAGATCCGCTTTTAAACCTTTTAAATTATCGATCACCTACCAAAAAGTTCAATGTCTGTTTTTTTGTTGGACTGACCCTTTAATCTACTTTGCATTTACCTTTACATTTGGGTAGTTTGGTTCAGCTTCTTTCCTGATAGATTTTCAGCAAAGCCCCGTCACTGACATTCGCACGTCTAATAAATCAACGTTATAAACCGCTAAAGCAGGAGGCCGTCATAATGTTACCCTGAGTACAATCATAACTGAGACGTTTCACGGAACGATCGAGTCAATTTCCAAAGACAGTTTAACTCGGGTCTCCTTCCCTGTAATTTACACACCTCTTCCGACTTTATCTTTTTTTTTTTTTTTTTCCTTTTCCTCCCCCCCACACAGTTGTTCCAAAGCTGAACTGCGTCTTCAGTGTGGAAATTGACGGATTTATCACGTACATCTACGGGAGTAAGCTTCAGATGAGAGCCAGCGAGAGGTCGGCCAAAAAATTTAAAGCCAAAGGAAGCATAGACCTGTAACCGGGTTATGGAGTCGAGATCAAATTCGGATATTCTGGACTTTTTTTTTTTTATTCTATTTTATTTATTTTTTTTTTATGGAGAAACATGGAAGGCTTAGATGGAAACCAGAAAGTCACGGGAAAGTAATAACGTATATTGCTGCCGCTACAACAACTTCAAGGGCTGCTGGGATTGAGTGATGATGAAACTGTCCTCTAATAACCCCCCCCCCCCCAACCTCAAAAAAGTAAAACATTTTTATATCATGGAGCTGACACATAATATCCTGTGCCATTAAACCGCCGCCATGCTTTACGATGTCCTAAAATGTTTGAAATGCTCGAATTTTCAGTTTTCTAATGAGATTGCAAAGAGGGGAAATTTTAAAGGGCTGCGCACACTTCATAAAAGTAATGTGGAGGCCGCACCAGGGTCTGGGGGGCATAATTGACTGCGGGAGGGGGAGGGGGTTTAATCAGGGCAATTTGAAGTTAACTCCTGGATGGAAATTATTCAAATAGGATTTTTTTTTTATGTGCATGGAGTTTACTTCCTAAAGTGACACCCACTTATACAGTAAATGTGCTCCAACCCCATAAACGCTGGAGAAAGAAAAAGTAAATTAGGGACTTTATATGTGCCACAAAGAGGACATGTATCCCAGAAAATCAGTAAAAAAAAAACCCAACCACTTTTATTGTACAATTAAAACATCATTAAAATCACAAAAAATAGTTGCCATATATGCGTGATGGATCAACGCTTTTCATTTTTTTTTTACTTTTAATGATGTTTTATAATAATTGTATAATAAAGTTGTTGGAGTTTTTTTACTGATTTTTTTTTTTTTTTTTTTTAAGATGCACGTCCTCTTTTTGGCACATTTAAAGTCTCTAATTCGCCTCTTCCGTCTCCAGTGTTTATGGGGTTGGAGGATGGATATTGTATGATTTTCAGACAATGGGGGCGGTGCTCTAGGAGAAATCGCGGAATGGTTTAACCCATAATATAACTGGTAATACAGACCGACTTATGTTCATCTTTGCTGCACTCTCCAACCTCTTTGTTCTCTCATTGGACCTGGCAGTCAAGGCTTGTATAAGCAAGATGGTGTCTGCGCTTACAGGGGGTTGGCGACTTCAGCATCCCCCCCATGGGAGTTTTTGGACCTGGTGATTGGCCACTGGAGCCAGAACATTGCCTGCTGGGAGAAAGAAGAGGAGGTCACATGCTTCCTTATATTGGAAGCCACAGGTATTCCCCAAGGGCTCCAAGGCAAAGGCGTTATGGGGGAGTACAGAGAAGGGGGGTATAATTGTGGGGGCTTTCAAAAGACTGTCAATAAATAGGCAAAGTGATGTTCTCTCTAAATCAGGGGATGTCAAGCTCCGTTTCATCGCGGACCGCATCAGCATTCTGGTTGCCCTCAAAAGGGCCGGTTTTATTTGTAAGTCTAGATGCCCAGAGCACACCACCCCCCTTACATCAGATGTCAAGTGCTCCCCCACCATCAGAAGTCAAGAGCCTCCACCCTACCTTTCATTACAGTGCACCCTGCTTACCTTGTGCTGTTGCTGGGAAAAAAGCTGGGGGCAGAGCTGGGAAGCCAAAAGTTCAGGGTCTGGAGGAGGACTAGAGGAGGGCTGGAGTCAGCTGCCAGAGTATGATGAATGCTGAGAGCAAGGGAGGCTGAGATGGAGTGCTGTGACTGCACTGAAAAGCACAGGATCTAGAGGAGTTCTGTCCTTCTTTCTACTGCTGAGACAGGGAGGGGGGGGGGGTGAGACGAGCCTCTCTGCAGCTGCAGGGAAAAGCACAAGATCTGGAGGAGGTGTTCTGTCTTCCTCTCTGAGCGTGGGGATGGGGACCATGCTGCAGGAAAGGCGTGGGGGCCACATGAAATGGCTTGGTGGGCCAGATTTGGCACGCAGGCCTTGTGTTTAATACGTGCTCCAAAGGGTAACTTTGCCTTTGTCACCAATTTGATAGGGGGGGAGGAGCAGAGACGAGCCTCTCTGCTGCTGCAGGGAAAAGTACAGGATCTGGAGGAGGTGTTCTGCCTTCCTCTCTGAGGGAGGGGACTAGGAGGAGCGTGCCGCAGCTGCAGGACAGGTGTGAGGACCACATGAAATGGCTTGGTGGGCCAGATTTGGCAAGCAGGCCTTGTGTTTAATACATTGTGCTCTAAAGGGTAACTTTGCCTTTGCAATAACTTGATGGGGGGGGGGGGGAGCAGAGACGAGCCTCTCTGCTGCTGAAGGGAAAAGCACAGGATCTGGAGGAGGTGTTCTGTCCTCCTCTCTGCTGATGACTGCTGAGAGTGAGGGAGGAGACGAGGAGGGTGCGTTCCGCAGCTGCAGGAGAGGTGTGGGGGCCACATGAAATGGCTTAGTGGGCCAGATTTGGTGCACAGGCCTTGTGTTTAACACGTGCTCTAAAGGGTAACTTTGCCTTTGTCACTAATTTGATAGGGGGGGGGGGGGTGGGAGCACAGACGAGCCTCTCTGCAGCTGCAGGGAAAAGCACAGGATCTGGAGGAGGTGTTCTGCCCTCCTCTGCTGATGACTGCTGAGAGTGAGGGAGGAGACGAGGAGGGTGCCGCAGCTGCAGGAGAGGTGTGAGGGCCAGATTTGGCACACAGGCCTTGTGTTTAACACATGCTCTAAAAGGGTAACTTTGCCTTTGTCACTAATTTGATATAGTTAAACGGAGGGAAGGGAGATCAAGGGGACACTACAGTATATTACTGTGTACAGTTGTTATTATTGGAACAACTTAAAAAAAATTTTGATTGGATTTCAAGATGTGCCCTCCTGTCATTGCTTATATCTTTGGTTTAGCCCCTATGCTCTTGAGGGTGGCTGAATCGCTCATAGTTGATCTCCTAGAAAACTTGTTTTGTTTTTTTGTTTTTTTAGCTGGGTCAGATCTGACCCACACACTTGCTCTGTGAAAGACTTGAAACAGAGCAGACCTGGTTGAGTACCAAGGCTGCAGATGCCTGATGTGGTAACCCATTTTTCTTTTTACTCCTTGCAACAACTTCATTGCTCTCCTTGACTCCAGTGGGGAAATCTCCCTTCCACTGCTGGCAGAGCTATAAAATATTTGTACGGACAGTCCACTTTATGGCCATGGTGTCAAAGATGGACCGAGAAAGGTCACCGTTTCCTGAGGTCATGGGTAGCAACTAGGAATATTGAAACCCTGGGTAGCGTATTATATTATTGTAGGTAGATCCGCCAACCTAAAGCGGAGATAGAAATTGTAAAATAAATTGTGACCATTTTTGCAACTGTATTATAAATGGAAACATTTAATTTATTTTGTAACTTTGTCACCAGAAATGTAAATAAAAAGAAACAAAAGCATGTATTTAACCCGAGTAATGTGTTATGAATTTACAGGATATTAATATGAAATATTTCTATTTAATAATGTTTGTTCTATATTAACAAAGAATAAACAAGCAACAGTTCTGCCAACGCAGGGGCTAGCATTGGTATTTGCAATAGAAGTTCGTTTACATAGGAGAAAAGATGGAGAAAGAGGCAGCGGAGGTCAATCGAGGAATAACACCGTGTAACTGAACCGGATCCCGACTGCACTTGAGTATTTCCGTTAAACTCCCGCTTCCCTGTCCGAACACCATCCACGGACACCACCGCTGACCATACAAGACTAGACGAGACCAGTCTTGAAATAAATCAGGAAATAGACTACTTTATTTTAACACAGATACAAGATATATACACAGGGCGGGGCAATACACACCCAGTAACAAGAAAAACACATCAGCAGGCAGGCCCATCAGGGGGAAGGGCTGCGGGGGAAACGCTCGCCACCAAGCCAATACACAAACACATACATCCCATAATAGTTTGCTCCCAAGCAAGACACATAATAGAGCAATGGGATACAACCACATGGCATTAAACAATGAACAACCCCCACCGATACATGTCTACACAATATCAGGACATTTCCCCCTGCACCCCTAACATGCACAGGGTGACTTACACATAAGAGGGATATGGGTAGCTGAGACAGGGCTCTCCCACCTCTCCAAAGTGAGCTATGTTCCATGGGCCCCCCACCCAAAGTGACTCCCATCACACACAGCAGCAACCGCTCAAAACAGCTTGTGAACCTCAAAGGTCAGAGGGCCAGGAGAGCCCCACCACGACAGCGGGGCATTCCCTGGTTCCATAGTACCCATGCAAATACACTGTCCACAGGTCATGTAGATTCATGGGAGTAAGAGAGTTGAGCAATAGCATAAGAAGGACTAAGCTAGAAGGTGGTGCGACTGGGAGGAAGAATTGCCCTCCCATAAAGCAGATAGTAAAAGGAAGGGCAGAGAGAGAAAGAAGGGTGACCAGAGACCAGAGGGGAGTTGGGTGACAAGGACTCGGAAACATCGGGACTGCCTGTCAGAGTAGGCCCAAGCTGGCTTGAGGAAGAGTAGGAAAGACATACGTCAGCCATGGTTCCCAGGTTTTAAGAAACTTACCCTTGGAGTCGTTGTGTATGCTGGACATCTGTTCGTTGAGCATCAGTGCAGTTATATGGTCACTCACCCCCTGAAAGGGGACAGATGTTTTTTTTTTTTTCAGGCTTGGGCATTCGTTCTGGTAGCTGACAAAAATAGGTAGGAAGCAGCTTCTGCTGATGAGCAAACAAACCCAATATGGAGCCATGTAATAAGGCAAACTTGGCCTCTCTACGTATAGGTAAGTGGAATAAAGAGGAGGCCAAATACACAGGACCAAAATCCGGTCAATTTAGGGCATGTCTACCATGTGTGCAAAACATCACCTCGATGGCCAATACCCTGAAAACAGCAGTCACTGTAAGATAGATTTGCATGGGCAGTACAAGCTGAGACCCAGTACCAACAGAAAAGCACTTTGTATGCCGCCTCCAAGGCAGCTGTGTTAAATGAGCATTTATCCAGAGAAGACCAAACTTTCATCTAGTCCTTCAGGTCTATCTCAAATGCCAAGTCCCATTCCCAT